GTGCAGGGAATTTGCTCACAGAATGTTTCGTGAGCGTATAAATTCACCGTTGATGTGAAATCACAGTACACAAGACCTCATCGTTTTGGTAAAAAATGGCCTGACTAGAAAAAAAAGGCCTTGCAAATGCTAACAGCCAGCTAAGCATAAAAAGGCACAATAAGTGACAGATCACGGCAAATTTTAGATATGTTTTATTCCATGAATAAATCGTTCCCCAATGAGTGAACAGAAAATTGAACAAGTTCTGCCGTCTATGTTTACAGCTCAGGGATGAGACACAGACAGGTTGTCAGGTCACTGTATATACAGGCTTGCTTATTTGGGAGATCTAAATGGCACTACTTCCAGTGTGTTTTCATTATCAAAATTCGATTGTGTTCTTCTCCACGTTGCTGGACCAGGCAACGCCAAACAAACTGCACATGTTAAAACAAAGACGATTTCAGGCTTCCCGTTTTTTTTTCAGTCCAATCTAGCCAGAGATATTTACTGTTTATATCTCTAAAATTTCTACAACAGTTAGGGAAAAACTGGATTTGTGGTGGTACCTGCTCTTGCCATGAATCATCTGGATGATGGGTACATTCCTGAGGCTTGAGATGAATTCCTGGTTGCAGATCGGGAATGCTGGTTTTGCAAAACCGGTGGTTACCACTCTGCAAAAAAACAATACTTCATGCTGAAGCAAAATCCCGTCACATAATACATCAAATAATGATTTATGGTTTTTTGTTAGAAATGGCTTAAAGAACAATTGCGTCACTATGGCAATATCCCAGCCCCTGGTGGTTCAAACTTTGGTCACCCTACCCTCGTTAAAGTTTTGCTATCTTAATAATCTCTGACCCCTGGGGTATAAAAGCACTCTTACCCACCCCCAGGATTTCACAGCCAGTTCAACTCACATGAGAAGCTACTCTCTTCTTATCTCTGTTCTAGGGAGATTCGGCCCCCCGGAACCTCACCATCTTTTTTTTGTATTGCCTTTTATTATTTTACGTACTTATAAATATGTATATATGACTAGGTCTCTTCTACACACACACACACACACACACACACGCACACGCACACATAAACACACACACACAAACACACACATACACACAAACACACACACACACGCAC